CGAGGCGGGTGGATCACGAGGTCAAGAGATTGAGACCATCCTGGTCAACATGGTGAAACCCCGTCTCTACTAAAAATACAAAACATTAGCTGGGCATGGTGGTGCGTGCCTGTAATCCCAGCTACTCAGGAGGCTGAGGCAGGAGAATTGCCTGAACCCAGGAGGCAGAGGTTGCAGTGAGCCGAGATCGCGCCATTGCACTCCAGTCTGGGTAACAAGAGCGAAACTCCGTCTCCAAAAAAAAGAAAACAAAAAAATGTCAATATGACTCAAAGTGATCTACAGGTTTAGTTTAATTGTTCTCAAAATCTCAGTGACATTTTTTCTTCAATTATAGAAAAATCCATCCTTATCAATTGTGTAAAGTTTATACGCAATTTCAAGAGATCCCAAATGGCCAAAGCAATCCTGAGAAAAATAACAAAGTTGGAAGTCTTTCACTTCTCAATTTCAAAATGTATTATTAAAAGCTACAGTGGGCTGGGCATGGTGGCTAAAGCCTGTAATCCCAGCAGTTTGGGAGGCTGAGGTGGGCAGATCACGAGGTCAAGAGATTGAGACCATCCTGGCCAACATGATGAAACCTCATCTCTACTAAAAATACCAAAATTAGCCAGGTGTGGTGGCATGTGCCTGTGGTGCCAGCTACTCGGGAGGTGAGGCAGAAGAATTGCTTGAACCCAGGAGGCAGAGGTTGCAGTGAGCCAAGATCGCACCACTGCACTCCAGTCTGGTGACAGAGCAAGACTCCGTCTAAAAAAAAAAAAAAACTACAGTGGTCGAAAGTGTGGTACAATAGTAAATATCTACAGAGAGACCAGTGGAATGGAATACAAAGTGCAGAAGGAAACTCTTAAACATATGGTCAAATGAGTTCAATAAGGATGCCAAGACTTTTCAATCAGGGAAGGGACAGTCTTTCAGCAAATGGTGTGGGAAAACTAGATATCCACAGGCAAAAGAATGAAGTTAAAGCCTTACCTTATATCATGTTAAAAAAAAACCTCAATAATGAATCAAAGACCCAAGTGGAAGATCTAAAACTATACAATTCTTGTTTTTTTGAGATGGAGTCTCGCTCTGTCGCCCAGGCTGGAGTGCAGTGGCGTGATCTCAGCTCACTGCAACCTCCGGCTCCCGGGTTCAAGCAACTCTCTGCCTCAGCCTGCCAAGTAGCTGGGATTAGAGGCACCCACCACCACGCCTAGCAAATTTTTGTATCTTTAGTAGAGACAGGGCATCTTAGTCAGGCTGGTCTTGAACTCCTGACCTCATGATTCACCCGCTTTGGCCTCCCAATGTGCTGGGATTATAGGCTTGAGCCACTGTTCCCAGCCGACAAATCTTAAAACATAGAAGGAGAGCTTCCTTTGGCAATGATTTCTTGGATATGACACCAAAGGCCCAAACAACAAAACGAAAAGTAGACAAATTGGATTGCATCGAAGGATACTATTAACAGAGTGAAAAGGCAACCTGCAGAATGACAGGACAGAGGTGCAAATTACATGTGACAGAGTTCCCATCTAGAATAGATAAAGCACTCTCACAATGCAACAACAAAAACTAACGCAGTTCAAAAATGTGCACAGGATGTGAATAGAAAGTCCACCAAATAAGAGATGCAAATGGCCAATTGGCACATAAAAAGATGCTTACCATCACTAATTATTAGGGAAACAAACCAAAACCACGTGGAGAGGCTGGGCATGGTAGCTCACTCCTGTAATCCCAGCACTCTGAAAGGCCAAGGTGGGCAGATCACTTGAGGTCAGGAATTTGAGACCAGCCTGGCCGACATGGTAACAGCACATCTCTACTAAAAATAGAAAAATCAGCTGCATGTGGTGGCATGTGCCTCAAGTCCCAGATGCTCGGGAGGCTGAGACAGAAGAATTACTTGAACCTAGGAGGCGGAGGTTGCAGTGAGCCAAGATTACACCACTGAACTCGAGCCTGGGTGACAAAGCGAGACTCTATCTCAAAAAAAGAAAAAAGAAGACCTACATGGAGAGGCCACCTCAGACTCATTAGGATGGCTGTAATCAATCAGAAAATAACGAGTGTTAGCGAGGACGCTGAGCAGTTGGAACCCTGGTGTACCTTACTGGGAGTTTAAAAATGGAGCTTCAGCTATGGCAAACAGTATAGCAATTCATCAAAAAGTTAAAAATAGGCCAGGCACGGTGGCTGACACTTATAATCCCAGCACTCTGTGAGGCTGGGGCAGGTGAATCACTTGAGGCCAGGAGTTCGATACCAGCCTGGCCAACATGGTAAAACCCCATGTCTACTAAAAACACACAAACTAGCCAGGTGTGGCAGTGCAGGCCTGTAATCCCAGCTGCTCGGGAGGCTGAGGGATAAGAATCTCTTGAACTCAGGAGGCAGAGGTTGCAGTGAGCCAAGATTGCACCACTGCATTCCAGCCTGGGTGACAGAGCGAGACTCTGTCTCAAAAGAATTACCATATAATCCAGCATTTCCACTGCTGGGTATGTAACCCCTACAATTCAAAGGGCCTCACGCATTTATACATTGATGTTCATACCAGCGTTGTTGAGAGCAAATTCTGATGTGTGTGAGAAATCATATTGTTTGCTGAGAAATCCTATTGAAAGCGGCGGCAAGGGAAACCTAGTTAGCCTCCCAAAGCGGAAAACTGCCCTCAAAGCATGAAACTGCTCAAAGCATTATAAAACAGTAAGCAATGTAAATATGTCTCACGCCAGATGAATTAGTTCTTTGAACACAGGATACCTGACCCTTTCCTTTGTTCCCTTGTAAAGAGCACTTTCTAGTTTGTCTTTAACCTATAGTAAACACACACTAGCTGCCTGGTTAGTTTACCTTTAACCAATGAAAGAACACAGAACATCTGCTTGTAAAACTTGTCACTGGAAAGTCAATAAATACGTAGGTCAGAGTCTGCTCTGGACTCTCAGCTGGAAATGCTGTGAGACCCCTGGTGCTCCACTCTGAACCCAGCTTTTGCTCTCTGTCTCTGTGTGTGTTTCTTAATTCCTTCAGCACCACGTGAGTTGGGGTCTCCACGGCTGAGCTGGTCTAGGCACAGGGTTATTCCTAGCAGCCGAAAGATAGCAGCAACTCAAGTGCCCTCCGACGGATAAACAAGCAAATGTGCTCTCTCCATACAGTCAAACATTATTCAGCCTTAAAAAAGAAGGAAATTCTGACACATGCTAGCACATGGATGAACCTTGAGGAGGTTATGCAAAGTGAAATAAGGCAGTCACAAAAAGAGAAATACTATATGATCCCACTTATGTGAAGGACCTAGAGTAATCAGATTCACAGAGACAGAAAGTAGAGTGGTAGAGGCCAGGAGCTGGGAGAGCCAGTAATGGCTTATTTAATGGGGACAGAGTTTCAGTTTGTCAGGGTTTAGTGAGTTCCAGACTTTGGCTGCACAAAAATATGAATGTACTTACACTGAAGTATGTATTTTAAGATGGTTATGGTAAATTTTTTGTGTTTTACCACATTAAAAATTTTTGACATTGGAAATGTATATTTATTGAGCACCTCCGTGCTGGGCATGATGATATGATTATGAACGCCATAGTTACAAAGAACACTCTTAGGGAGGTAAAATTCTAAGTGTAAAAACTAGCACAGACAGACAATAATAGACACAGACACACAGGACTCAGATAGCAGGCTTATTAGAGATTACAGATTTCAGCAGGGAACCAGAAATTATTAAAATTACTAATTACTAAATTTGTAGTTTAGTAATTAATTTAGCCAATCAGCTCATTTACTAATGAATGAAAATTACATACTGAAAAGGAACCAGAATATAGTAGAAAGAGATGGCAGAAAAGGCCACCTAAAGCCCTTCTTTTAGATAGTGCTCTTAGCAGATGAGGGATAGAAGGGCACTTCCTGGCCAGGCATGGTGGCTCATGCCTGTAGTCCCAGCTACTCAGGAGGCTGAGGCAGGGGAATCACTTGAACCCAGCAGGCAGAGTTTGCAGTGAGCCGATATTATGCCACTGCACTCCAGCCTGGGCAACAGAGCAAGACTCAACAAAATAAAAAGCAGGGTGCGGTGGCTCACGCCCGTAATCCCAGCACTTTGGGAGGCTGAGGGGAGTGGATCACTTGAGGTCAAGAGCTGGAGACCAGCCTGGCCAAACCCTGTCTCTATTAAAAATACAAAAATTAGCTGGGTGTGGTGACAGGCATCTAATCTCAGCTGCTCAGGAGGCTGAGGCAGAATTGCTTGATCCCAGGAGGCAGAGGTTGCAGTGAGCCACTGTACTCCAGCCTGGGTGACAGAGCAAGACTCCATCTCAAAAAAAATAAATCCCATCTTTTAAACAGTTCTCCTAGCAGATGAGGGATAGAAGAGCGCTTCCTTATCCTGGTAGCTCTGAGTGTCCAGTCTGTGCCCTTGCCCACCACACTTGATGGGAAACGGTAGAGCAGCCTCCACTGCAAGCTGCACTGAAGATCCCACCCACACAGTGAGAGCTCCCTTAGCCTGCACTTTGGGTTGGATACATCCCGAGCTCTCAATGCATCGTGTGCTAAGGTTCCACCCTCCCCTTGGCTGGGAAGTATGTCTTGGTCTTCTGTCTCCAGGGTGCTGGTGGCAGAGCCTGACATGGATTGAGCACTCCATAGACGCTTGTTCAATTTCCTAGGAACTGGGCAGGCTGGGCCTAATACCACTGCCCGCAAAGGCCTGGCAGGTGTAGGGACTCATCGACCCGTGCCGGCTGCTATTACAGAAAGAGGAGAGGAAGATGGGTGGGAGTGGATGGAGAGTTGTCCTTTTAATAAGGAGGGCCAGGAGCTGTAACAGGGGCTCCAGCATAATTTATCTCAGGAAACAGCAGGAGCCCCTCTCCTCTGGGGCCCATAGCCTGGCCTTACTTCTCTTCTCTCTTCTTTACAGTATGAGATTTCATCTAAGCCAGCACTAGGCTGCCAAAGACTTCAAACTCCTTCACCTTCTACTCTAATTCCAGCTCCTTGACAAGGGCAAGATTCTTGGCTGGGACAGAATAACCAGCATGGAATGCCAGGAAACTCAGAACGGCAAGTGCTTCAAATGGAGGGAAGAAGAGCTGTTTGCCATTGTGCTCAAAATACTTCTGAGGACATGAAACTCTCCCACTGGTCTGGGTAATTCTCCCCCTTCCTCCACACCTCCACTATAAATCAAGAGACAGCACGGCCAGCGAGTCCCAGCCCTGCAGAGAGAGCTCTACCCGGATCCTGTTCATGTCCAAGGTATTTATTCACTTATTCAACAGCCATGTGGGAAGCCACTGCTTCAAAACACTGACTGTGTGGAGGGAACACAGAGTCAGGTTCTCAGTTGCCTGGTCCTGGCTTTCCCTGCCTGATCCAGGGGTCTCCTGAGGCAGGAGTTTCTTTGAGGGGAACTGATAGTTCTTCAGAAGCCCGATAGAGACCTGCTCTCTTTGGGGTAGACACACTGGGACTGAATGCTATGGAGGACCTCTGTTTTGGTAGGGGCACCTGTGAACTCAGGCGCCCAGGCTACAGCATTCAAAGTTTTTTTTACTTTCCTTTGGAACATAACCTTTTCCTTTGAGTTTTCAACTGAAGAATAAAGCTAGTAGAATCCAAGAATCTATCTCTGGATTGCTGGGGCTGATCATCCACCCAGGAGATGGGGAGATGTGGGCAGCTATGGAATCTTCTCAATGATAGGGGATGCCCTCGAGCCCTCTTTGAGCTGAGACTTTGGTAGAAGATTGTAGGGTCAAAATTCCAGAACAAAGGGCCAGGTGTCAGCCACGGGGACTGAGGCAAGCTGAGGGCCAGATGCCAGACTTGACTGTCCCTGGCCTCCCCACCCATGAAACCCTGGTGCACGCAGATGCTAGATGAAATTAGAAGAAAGAACTCCAGGGCAAATGGGAATGAGAAGGTTGTTCCTCCACATTCCCATGCTGGAGGGAAGAGAAGGGAGGGTGGCTGGGATCTGAGTGTTTGCTATGGTTACAGCCTAAGGACCCCGAAGCCCAGGCATTGTTCCAAGTGCCTTGAAAGATGTTTGATCTTAAGCCTTACAATAGTCCAATGAGGAATAGATGATCTCCTCAATGAGGGAAGAAACAAAGGCTCAGAGAGTTGAGGGGATTCCCCAAAGGTCATATAACCTACAAATGGCCAGGACGGTGCTGATGCGGGCCTGTCTGCCTCCCAAGGCTGCCCAAGCTCAATCACCCCCCACCACTTCTGCTTTTGCAATAATAGCCTCATGCACATATTCTACCAGTTACTTTATGCAAGAAAGTCAAGTAAACTTTAGCCATATCCCAAGACATAACAGGTAGCTCCTGTTCAAAACACCCTGTAAATCAGGTCACGCAAGATCAGAAATGCACCCACAACTGTTACAGGTGCTGTGCTAGCCACTATTTTGGGGAACTCAGCCTAGGAATATGAGTGAAGAGACAAATCACAAAGAAAAGCAAATTACTGGCGTGCAGGGGGCCCTGAGCAATTCAGAGTCAGATGCAACTAGAGTGTGCAGCCACCTGACCTGCTGGTTTCCCAATATGCTTAATGGATCCATGATGTCGGGTCCACAAAGGAAATGCAGAAGCCTTCCCTTCCTGCCTCCTACACTCTGTGGGTCAAGTATTTACCAAAAACACAACAGTGGACTGGACACCAGCAGAGATACAAAGAGGGAAAAACAATTCTCCCTTCGCAAGGCAGGTTGGACAACAGCAATATTTTGCAGTTAGGAGGTGTGGGTGGAGTGTGTGTGCATGCCCAGAATTTAAAGACAAACAGATGGGAGAGGGAATGATTCCGGCAGAAAGACCAGTAAATATTCACATCTACAATGTACACTGAACTGCAGCCTAGACAACAGAGCAAGACTTTGTCTCTACAAAAAATTTGAAAATTAGCCAGGCATGGTGGCACATGCCTGTAGTGTCAGCTACCCAGGAGGCTGAGGCAGGAGGATCACTTGAGCCCAGGAGTTTAAAATTACAATAAACTGTCATCATATCACTGCACTCCAGCCTGGGCATCAGAGCAAGGCCCTATCTCTAAAACAAAACAAGGTAAGACATTTACATAAAAATCAATGTATGAAAATCCAAAATAAAATATTAGCAAATAAACCCCACTGGGGCTTAAAAAAAACTTACCTAAACCAAGTGAGACTTGTACAGTGTGAAAAAGATGGCTTGAAATTAAAACATCTTTTCATTTCATTTATATTAATATGTTGAAAATCATAATCACCATAGATGTTCAAAAGGCATTTGACAAAATTTACTATAAAATTTATATAAGAAACATCAAATTAGAAAGAGGGATACTTCCTTAAATTACACACAATAAAGGAAATTACACCCAGACACACCCATCAAGCTAAAGCCCAGCATCATTTTAAGGGATGGAAGCAATAGAAGCTTCCATCAACCTTTGGAACAAAAGAATGCCCTCTGTTACCACTATTATTTTGGAGGCCCTAGCTGATGCAACTAGGCAAGGAGGAAAGTAAAGACATTAAAGAAAAAAGCAGAAGGTGAAATAGTTACATTTACTCCAAAAAATGAGACAGATTTTGCTAAGGAGTTAGGTACAAAAGGAACATACTAAACAGCCTTCCTTTTTCTTAATTTTCAAACTATACAGATGGGCTGGGCACAGCTCATGTCTGTAATCCCAGCACTTTGGGAGACCAAGGCAGGCGGATTGCTTGAGGCCAGGAGTTCCACACCAACCTGGCCAACATGGCAAAACCCTGACTCTACTAATAATACAAAAATTAGTCAGGTGTTGTGAAACACACCTGTCATACCAGGTACTCAGGAGACTGAGGCACGAGAATTGCTTGAACCTGGGGGGTGGAGGTTGAAGTGAGCTGGAACTGCACTAGTGCACTCCAGCCTGGGCGACAGAGCAAGATCCTGTCTCCAAAAAAAAAAAAAAAAAAGAAATGGGGGCTTAGTATGCTGCCCAGGCTGGTCTCAAACTCCTGGGCTCAAGCAATCCTTCTGCCTCAGTCTCCCAAAGTGCTAGGATTACAGGCCTGAGCCACCAAGCCTGGTCTCAGACAGTCTTCCTATGTACAAACAAGCAGAAAAAAGAAGAAAACGTCCCATTTGCAACAGCACACCCCAAAAAAACAAAACTCTCTGAAATAAACAAAACTCTCAGAAACATGCGAAAATATGCACACACAATCCATATGAAGAAATCGTTCAATGAAATACTCTGAATGCAAAGAAAGCCACGCTGCACATGTTATCGAGAAAGGTTCAACATTAAAAAGATGTCACGGCCAGATGTGGTGGCTCATACCTGTAATCCCAGCACTTTGGAAGTCCAAGGTGGGTAGATTACAAGGTCAGGAGTTTGAGACCAGCATGAGCAGCATAGTGAAACCGTGTCTCTACTATACAAAAAAATTAGCCGGGCATGGTGATCTGCATCTGGATTACTAGCTACTCAAGAGGCTGAGGCAGGAGAATTGCTTGATCCAGCAGGCAGAGATTGCAGTAGGCCGAGATTGTGCCACTGCACTCCAGCCTGGGTGACAGAATGAGACTCCATCTCAAAAAACAAACAAACAAAAAGATGTCACTATCAATATCAAGTGGGGGTGTGTGGAAGTGGAGCCTTCACACATGCTGGGGGAACATAAGACAGCATGGCCACTCCAAAAGACAGTTTGGCAGTTTCTTAAAAGGTAAATATAAATTTATCTTATGGAGTCAGACGCAATGGCTCAAGCCTGTAATCCCAGCATTTTGGGAGGCCAAGGCAGGTATATCACCTTAAGTCAGGAGTTCGAGACCAAACATGGCCAACATGGTGAAACCCCATCTCTTCTAAAAATACAAAAAAGTAACCCAATGTGGTATCGGGCGCCTGTAATCCCAGCTACATGGGAGGCTGAGGCAGAAGAATCACTTGAAACTGAAAGGCAGAGGTTGCAGTGAGCTGAGATCACGCCACTGCACTCTAGCCTCAGTGACAAAGCCCGACTCTGTCTCAAAAAACAAAGAAAATTAGGTGCAGTGGCACATGCCTGTAATACCAGCTACACCGGTGGCTGAAGCAGAAGAATCACTTGAGCCCGGGAGGTGTAGGTTGCAGTGAGTCAAGAACATGCCACTGCACTCCAGCTTGGGCAACTGAATGAGACTGTCTCCAAACAAATAAATAAATAAAAATAAAGTGTCAACCTCAGTGGCTCTTTGTATACTCTCAGAATGGTGCATCCATCACAACTGATTTTAGAACATTTTCATTTTCCCAACAAGGAACCCTGGTATCCTTAGTCACCACCCCTCCCAATTCTTCCTCCCCCAGCACTAGGTAACCAGTAATATGCTCCCTGTCTCTCTGGATTTTCCCATCTGGACATTTCATATAAATGGGATGATATCGTATGTGGCCCTTGGTGACTGGCTGCTTGGACTTGGCATAAAGTGTCAGGCTCACCCACATGTGGCCCATGTCTGTGCTTCATTCCTTTTCACTGCCTTATTGTCCAAGTGGTGTCATAAGCTCTGCAGATGAACTGAAAAGTCAGAGTGTGTGTTGTAATCCCTAGAACAATTGCTAAAGAAAGCACATATAGCTAAATACATAGAGCAAAAAGATACAGCCAAAAAGCCACTAGAGATGAAAGGATACGTGAAGAATCACTCCATTCATCCAAAGGAAGCCAGGAAAGGAGGAACAAAAACAAAAGGGAATAGGCCAGGCACGCTGGCTCACTACTAAAAATACAAAAAAAAAATTAGCCAGGCACAGTGGCGCACACCTGTAATCCCAGCTACTCGGGAGGCTGAGGCAGGAGAATTGCTTGAATTTGGGAGGTGGAGATTGCAGTGAGCTGAGATCACGCCACTGCACTCCAGCCTGGGTGACAGAGCAAGACTGTCTCAAAAAGGAAAAAAAAAAAAACAAAAAAACACAGATGGCATACATTAAAAATTCCTTTGAACCCTAAGTAAACTCAACACTCCAAGTGAAAGTGAGATAGTGAGACTGAATATTAAGAAACAAACAAAAACATGACCCGCCTATATAATGTGTAGAAGAGGCACCCTTTAATTACAAAAACACAGCTAAGATGAAAACAGCAGGATG